GTGCCTCCCACCCACCACCAACCAGATTCTTGATTTGTATACAATTCTATACAGCTGGCTGGCTGAAGTCTTTATCATGAAATTGTGGAAAAATATGCCACTAGTGTCACTGTTTGTGGACATATGCAGTTCATAAATACACATTGTTCGTACCGTCAACATATGTTTTACTGTTCCAGTTTTCTGACAAATGTTTGCAAGAAATTGTCTGCTGCTTAATTCTGACCACTCCTCAGTACCCCCAACAGTTTGCTCAAAGAGACCAAAGTCACAGCATTGCACCTAAGGCCATTTAAAATCTATTTTTAGGTATTCATCACCACCCGCCCCAATTTTCAAGCCAGCCCTGATTTTTTTATATATATTTTATCTTTTTTTGTAAAGTGTGTATTTTCTCCAATTAAAGGGAAGATACAACATTTGCAAACATCAAAAAATGAAATGATCAAATTATCACGAAATACCTTACTGGATTGTTAAGGAATGACAGTCTGAAGCATCCTGTAAAATCGTGGCTCCTGGTGTGCTGACATTTTCAAGAAAAAATGTATTTTTCCAACGCTGGTCGGCCAACCAGCGTTGGAGAAAACTGGCTTTTTTCAAAAACTGCTCCTAATTGTTTATATTTAGTTATTCCGCATTTTCTTTGCAGTTGATTACACACCTGTGAAGAGGTACAAGCCAGCTAGACTGATTCTCTGAACTTACAATTCCCCAAAGTCTATAAATTGCTCCGTTTCATTTTAAGTGGAGTCAGGGAACCAGACTACAAGAACATGATTGGTTTTCTTGGATTTTCCAGCATCTACAACCCCAAAACGTGAAACAAGTCAGTTTAACAATATTTGCTATAACATACTAATCCTCCAAATCCATTTATTTCTGAAAATTGCAGCAAAAGCAAATGTTGTACATTCCCTTTAAGTGTATATTTTCAGACAAATTTCTTACAAATCCTCGGGCAACTCTGTTTTTCCAACGTGATTAAGCAGATTTTTCTTCGAATGGAACGTGCATGCATGCATATATTATGCAGACACTGGTTCCCACCGCTACACATGGCTAGATAACAGCAAGAACGACAATGAAAGGGGCGGGAGCCAGCGTGGCGCATGTCCAACCGTGCCCAAACAGTTTTCGAAGACTCTCACGCAAACAGAAATGGATATGTTTGAAACTATCAAAAAGCTTTAATGAAGGTTTAATTAACAAACCTTGGTCCCTCTTTCTGCATATATGTATTTTCTTCTTCCATGATTTTTTTCTTCGAGGTCTTAAGGCTTTTGTTTGTAGGGATTCAGTGAAGTGGATTTTCTGTACGACAGTCGCCGTGTGCCAGTGACCGCCGGCAGAACATGGGGCCAGTCCACACGGCGGTTTTAACAATTGTTTTTCATAATGCATGATGTTACCGTGCAATACGGACTGTGTTGGCCCGGCATTTCCCTTTCCCAAGTAGTGACGTACTAATGGACTTAAACTTTAATTTAGTGAGTGCCATCTGTCTTCAAAATTAGACACGTTAACATTGCGTCACCTCTTCTACATGTACGTTTAGAACCAAAACATCGGACTTCAGCCCCCTCAAGTCACTATGGAGGTGAAAAGTTTATAAAATATAAAATACAGTAAACTCTGGCTAAACCGACATCGTACAACTCGTCAAATTGCTCAAGTCAGCCGTCTGACTAAAGTCCCGATTGTCCATAATGCATTTCCATTGAATTTTTTATTTCTAAGTTGGCTTTTACAAGTCGCCATTTCGCTCAAGTCGTCATGTTACTCTCGGTCCCCTTTCCATAAAAAGCATTACAAAATCCTCTGTGTAAGTCGGCATTCAACAAATCACGTATTGGCATCGACTTCTGTACTGCGGTTGGCAAAGTGTCAAGTGAAAAGTGGTTTCGCACAGCCTGTGATCGTTGTATGCATCAGTGTTGAAAAAGGGTGTCCTACTGCATACCACTACGCGGCGCTATAGGATCTTTGCTGCATACATCGTATATGCATCGTGAGCATATCAATACCATTACCCCCTCTAGGCTGTACGCATGCACGCTGTCCATTTTGGGGGTCGTCTTATTGAATGACTACTGCTGCAGTCAATGCATGTGTGGTATATACCGGACCACGCACGCATTTAATTTGTTACTGTGCACGTACATATGTATCGTGGTCTCCACTTTCAATACCCCCAAACGTGATGATACAATTCGAGGATTAATTTGCTGGATTCAACTCTAGCATTAAGGAGATAATCCAGGGTAAATCAAAGCCAATTAGAACAATGAATCATGTGCGCAAAAGACCGTTCATGTAAGTCGGCAAAATGACGACTTATAGCATATATCGGCATTCGCGTAATTCGTCACAAATTCTCGGGTCCCGAGAGAGTGCCGGTTTAGCCGGAGTTTACTGTATAAATATCAATGCCCCTCCCGACTGATGATTTTATAATATGAGTGATGCAAACCTCAAAATTAATTCTAATGGCCTAAACTGTGCCTTTCGACTATCTTTTTCAACAATGACACCTACCTTTCTACCATCAGGCCTGACGACTGGGATGAATTCCATGGATCCGGCCGGCTGGTACTGCAGTTCCAGAGCCGTCACCAAGGCTTCCCCGTCATCAGTCACCACAGGAGCAATGGTCAGGTCGTTGACCTCAACAGGGTCATCAAAGGTCATGTCCAAGAACTGCTTGTCATCCTCAACGGCCGCCACCCACGAACCATCGCCGCTGGACGGGTTGAAACCAGGCTTAAAGGATGAGGTCTGGATGGTATCAATGACAGAATCCAAGATCTTGGGTTGTTGGTCCTTAGGCTTGTCTTTACCAATATCTTGCTTCTCAATTCCAGGCATATCTGCTGCAGGTTTGCCTTTGTCTGCAGAAGGTTCTTCTTCATCAGATCCCTTCTTTCCTTTCTTCTTAGGTTTATCCTTGCCCTTATCCTTGCCCCTTTTGGGTGGTTTGTTTTGCTGTTCATCAGCTGCAGGTTTGCCTTTGTCTGCTGAAGGTTCCTCTTCATCAGATCCCTTCTTTCCTTTCTTCTTAGGCCTATCCTTGCCCCTTTTGGGTGGTTTGTTTTGCTGTTCATCAGCTGAAGGTTCACCTATGTCTGCTGAAGGTTCCTCTTCATCAGATCCCTTCTTTCCTTTCTTCTCTTTCTTCTTAGGCCTATCCTTGCCCTTATCCTTGCCCCTTTTGGGTGGTTTGTTTTGCTGTTCATCGGCTGCAGGTTCGCCTATATCTGCTGAAGGTTCCTCCTCATCAGATCCCTTCTTTCCTTTCTTCTTAGGTTTATCCTTGCCCTTATCCTTGCCCCTTTTGGGTGGTTTGTTTTGCTGTTCATCAGCTGCAGGTTCACCTATGTCTACGGAAGGTTCCTCCTCATCGGATCCCTTCTTCCCTTTCTTCTTAGGCCTATCCTTGCCCTTATCCTTGCCCCTTTTGGGTGGTTTGTTTTGCTGTTCATCAGCTGCAGGTTCGCCTATATCTGCTGAAGGTTCCACTTCATCAGATCCCTTCTTTCCATTCTTCTTAGGTTTTTCCTTGCCCTTATCCTTGCCCCTTTTGGGTGGTTTGTTTTGCTGTTCATCAGCTGCAGGTTCGCCTATGTCTGCTGAAGGTTCCTCTTCATCAGATCCCTTCTTTCCTTTCTCTCCTTTCTTCTTAGGTTTATCCTTGCCCTTATCCTTGCCCCTTTTGGGTGGTTTGTTTTGCCGTTCATCGGCTGCAGATTCGCCTATATCTGCTGAAGGTTCCTCTTCATCAGATCCCTTCTTTCCTTTCTTCTTAGGTTTATCCTTGCCCTTATCCTTGCCCCTTTTGGGTGGTTTGTTTTGCTGTTCATCAGCTGCAGGTTCGCCTATGTCTGCTGAAGGTTCCTCTTCATCAGATCCCTTCTTTCCTTTCTTTCCTTTCTTCTTAGGTTTATCCTTGCCCTTATCCTTGCCCCTTTTGGGTGGTTTGTTTTGCTGTTCATCGGCTGCAGGTTCGCCTATATCTGCTGAAGGTTCCTCTTCATCAGATCCCTTCTTTCCTTTCTTCTTAGGTTTATCCTTGCCCTTATCCTTGCCCCTTTTGGGTGGTTTGTTTTGCTGTTCATCGGCTGCAGGTTCGCCTATGTCTGCTGAAGGTTCCTCTTCATCAGATCCCTTCTTTCCTTTCTTCTTAGGTTTATCCTTGCCCTTATCCTTGCCCCTTTTGGGTGGTTTGTTTTGCTGTTCATCGGCTGCAGGTTCGCCTATATCTGCTGAAGGTTCCTCTTCATCAGATCCCTTCTTTCCTTTCTTCTTAGGTTTATCCTTGCCCTTATCCTTGCCCCTTTTGGGTGGTTTGTTTTGCTGTTCATCGGCTGCAGGTTCGCCTATATCTGCTGAAGGTTCCTCTTCATCAGATCCCTTCTTTCCTTTCTTCTTAGGTTTATCCTTGCCCTTATCCTTGCCCCTTTTGGGTGGTTTGTTTTGCTGTTCATCGGCTGCAGGTTCGCCTATATCTGCTGAAGGTTCCTCTTCATCAGATCCCTTCTTTCCTTTCTTTTTAGGTTTATCCTTGCCCTTATCCTTGCCCCTTTTGGGTGGTTTGTTTTGCTGTTCATCGGCTGCAGGTTCGCCTATGTCTGCTGAAGGTTCCTCTTCATCAGATCCCTTCTTTCCTTTCTTCTTAGGTTTATCCTTGCCCTTATCCTTGCCCCTTTTGGGTGGTTTGTTTTGCTGTTCATCAGCTGCAGGTTCGCCTATGTCTGCTGAAGGTTCCTCTTCATCAGATCCCTTCTTTCCTTTCTTTCCTTTCTTCTTAGGTTTATCCTTGCCCTTATCCTTGCCCCTTTTGGGTGGTTTGTTTTGCTGTTCATCGGCTGCAGGTTCGCCTATATCTGCTGAAGGTTCCTCTTCATCAGATCCCTTCTTTCCTTTCTTCTTAGGTTTATCCTTGCCCTTATCCTTGCCCCTTTTGGGTGGTTTGTTTTGCTGTTCATCGGCTGCAGGTTCGCCTATGTCTGCTGAAGGTTCCTCTTCATCAGATCCCTTCTTTCCTTTCTTCTTAGGTTTATCCTTGCCCTTATCCTTGCCCCTTTTGGGTGGTTTGTTTTGCTGTTCATCGGCTGCAGGTTCGCCTATATCTGCTGAAGGTTCCTCTTCATCAGATCCCTTCTTTCCTTTCTTCTTAGGTTTATCCTTGCCCTTATCCTTGCCCCTTTTGGGTGGTTTGTTTTGCTGTTCATCGGCTGCAGGTTCGCCTATATCTGCTGAAGGTTCCTCTTCATCAGATCCCTTCTTTCCTTTCTTTTTAGGTTTATCCTTGCCCTTATCCTTGCCCCTTTTGGGTGGTTTGTTTTGCTGTTCATCGGCTGCAGGTTCGCCTATGTCTGCTGAAGGTTCCTCTTCATCAGATCCCTTCTTTCCTTTCTTCTTAGGTTTATCCTTGCCCTTATCCTTGCCCCTTTTGGGTGGTTTGTTTTGCTGTTCATCGGCTGCAGGTTCGCCTATATCTGCTAAAGGTTCCTCTTCATCAGATCCCTTCTTTCCTTTCTTCTTAGGTTTATCCTTGCCCTTATCCTTGCCCCTTTTGGGTGGTTTGTTTTGCTGTTCATCAGCTGCAGGTTCGCCTATGTCTGCTGAAGGTTCCTCTTCATCAGATCCCTTCTTTCCTTTCTTTCCTTTCTTCTTAGGTTTATCCTTGCCCTTATCCTTGCCCCTTTTGGGTGGTTTGTTTTGCTGTTCATCGGCTGCAGGTTCGCCTATATCTGCTGAAGGTTCCTCTTCATCAGATCCCTTCTTTCCTTTCTTCTTAGGTTTATCCTTGCCCTTATCCTTGCCCCTTTTGGGTGGTTTGTTTTGCTGTTCATCGGCTGCAGGTTCGCCTATATCTGCTGAAGGTTCCTCTTCATCAGATCCCTTCTTTCCTTTCTTTCCTTTCTTCTTAGGTTCATCCTTGCCCTTATCCTTGCCCCTTTTGGGTGGTTTGTTTTGCTGTTCATCAGCTGCAGGTTCGCCTATGTCTGCTGAAGGTTCCTCTTCATCAGATCCCTTCTTTCCTTTCTTCTTAGGTTTATCCTTGCCCTTATCCTTGCCCCTTTTGGGTGGTTTGTTTTGCTGTTCATCGGCTGCAGGTTCGCCTATATCTGCTGAAGGTTCCTCTTCATCAGATCCATTCTTTCCTTCCTTCTTAGGTTTATCCTTGCCCTTATCCTTGCCCCTTTTGGGTGGTTTGTTTTGCTGTTCATCAGCTGCAGGTTCGCCTATGTCTGCTGAAGGTTCCTCTTCATCAGATCCTTTCTTTCCTTTCTTTCCTTTCTTCTTAGGTTTATCCTTGCCCTTATCCTTGCCCCTTTTGGGTGGTTTGTTTTGCTGTTCATCGGCTGCAGGTTCGCCTATATCTGCTGAAGGTTCCTCTTCATCAGATCCCTTCTTTCCTTTCTTCTTAGGTTTATCCTTGCCCTTATCCTTACCCCTTTTGGGTGATTTGTTTTGCTGTTCATCAGCTGCAGGTTCACCTATGTCTGCTGAAGGTTCCTCTTCATCAGATCCCTCCTTTCCTTTCTTTCCTTTCTTCTTAGGTTTATCCTTGCCCTTATCCTTGCCCCTTTTGGGTGGTTTGTTTTGCTGTTCATCGGCTGCAGGTTCGCCTATATCTGCTGAAGGTTCCTCTTCATCAGATCCCTTCTTTCCTTTCTTCTTAGGTTTATCCTTGCCCTTATCCTTGCCCCTTTTGGGTGGCTTGTTTTGCTGTTCATCAGCTGCAGGTTCGCCTATATCTGCTGAAGGTTCCTCTTCATCAGATCCCTTCTTTCCTTTCTTCTTAGGTTTATCCTTGCCCTTATCCTTGCCCCTTTTGGGTGGTTTGTTTTGCTGTTCATCAGCTGCAGGTTCGCCTATGTCTGCTGAAGGTTCCTCTTCATCAGATCCCTTCTTTCCTTTCTTCTTAGGCCTATCCTTGCCCTTATCCTTGCCCCTTTTGGGTGGTTTGGTTTTCTGTTCATCAGCTGCAGGTTCACCCATGTCTACGGAAGGTTCCTCTTCATCTGATCCCTTCTTTCCTTTCTTCTTCGGTCTATCCTTGCCCTTATCCTTGCCCCCTTTGGGTGGTTTGTTTTGCTGTTCATCAGCTGCAGGTTCACCTATGTCTACAGAAGGTTCCTCTTCATCAGATCCCTTCTTTCCTTTCTTCTTAGGCCTATCCTTGCCCTTATCCTTGCCCCTTTTGGGTGGTTTGTTTTGCTGTTCATCAGCTGCAGGTTCACCTATGTCTGCTGAAGGTTCCTCTTCATCAGATCCCTTCTTTCCTTTCTTCTTAGGCTTTTTCTTGCCCTTATCCTTGCCCCTTTTGGGTGGTTTGTTTTGCTGTTCATCAGCTGCAGGTTTGCCCTCGTCTGCTGAAGGTTCCTCTTCATCAGATCCCTTCTTTCCTTTCTTTTTACGTTTATCCTTGCCCTTATCCTTGCCCCTTTTGGGTGGTTTGTTTTGCTGTTCATCAGCTGCAGGTTCACCTATGTCTGCAGAAGGTTCCTCCTCATCGGATCCCTTCTTTCCTTTCTTCTGAGGCTTACCCTTTCCCTTGTTCTTGGGTCTATCCTTGCCCTTATCCTTGCCCCTTTTGGGTGGTTTGTTTTGCTGTTCATCAGCTGCAGGTTCACCTATGTCTACAGAAGGTTCCTCTTCATCAGATCCCTTCTTTCCCTTCTTCTTGGACCTATCCTTTCCCTTGTTCTTGGGTCTATCCTTGCCCTTATCCTTGCCCCTTTTGGGTGGTTTGTTTTGCTGTTCATCAGCTGCAGGTTCGCTTATGTCTGCAGAAGGTTCCTCTTCATCGGATCCCTCCTTTCCTTTCTTCTTAGGCCTATCCTTTCCTTTGTTCTTGGGTCTATCCTTTCCCTTGTTCTTGGGCCGATCCTTTCCCTTGTTCTTGGGTCTATCCTTGCCCTTATCCTTGCCACTATTAGGTGGTTTGTTTTGCTGTTCATCAGCTGCAGGTTCCCCTATGTCTACGGAAGGTTCCTCTTCATCGGATCCCTTCTTTCCTTTCTTCTTAGGCCTATCCTTGCCCTTATCCTTGCCCCTTTTGGGTGGTTTGTTTTGCTGTTCATCAGCTGCAGGTTCACCTATGTCTACGGAAGGTTCCTCTTCATCAGATCCCTTCTTTCCTTTCTTCTTAGGCCTATCCTTGCCCTTGTTCTTGGGCCTATCCTTGCCCTTGTTCGTGGGCCTATCCTTTCCCTTGTTCTTGGGTCTATCCTTTCCCTTGTTCTTGGGCAAATCTTTGCCTATCTCAGGGGGTGTATTCTGTGTCTCATCAGCTGCAGGTTTCCCAATGTCATCAATATTTCCCACAGGGGTAGTAGAGGCAACTACTTCAGCGAGTTCTGCAGTTGTTTGGTCTGCTGGCATCTCAGTCTCTGCTTCAATTTTGACAGTGGTCTCAACTGGAGCTGCCTTTGGTGCCAAGGTTGGAATGGGAACATCAGCTGAGGGTTTCCCAGCAGTTACTCCAACATCTGCTTCGACGGGCTCTGGAGTTGCTGGTTTGGTATCCACCACTGGAACAAGAACTGTTGTTTGGACTTCTGGCATTTCCATCTCGGTCTCTGCTTCAATTTTGACGGTGGTCTCAACAGGAGCTGCCTTTGGTGCCAAGGTTGGAATGGGAACATCAGCTGAGGGTTTCCCAGCAGTTACTCCAACATCTGCTTCGACGGGCTCTGGAGTTGCTGGTTTGGTATCCACCACTGGAACAAGAACTGTTGTTTGGACTTCTGGCATTTCCATCTCGGTCTCTGCTTCAATTTTGACGGTGGTCTCAACTGGAGCTGCCTTTGGTGCCAAGGTTGGAATGGGAACATCAGCTGAGGGTTTCCCAGCAGTTACTCCAACATCTGCTTCGACAGGCTCTGGAGTTGCTGGTTTAGTATCCACCACTGGAACAAGAACTGTTGTTTGGACTTCTGGCATTTCCATCTCGGTCTCTGCTTCATTTTTGACGGTGGTCTCAACTGGAGCTGCCTTTGGTGCCAAGGTTGGAATGGGAACATCAGCTGAGGGTTTCCCAGCAGTTACTCCAACATCTGCTTCGACGGGCTCTGGAGTTGCTGGTTTGGTATCCACCACTGGAACAAGAACTGTTGTTTGGACTTCTGGCATTTCCATCTCGGTCTCTGCTTCAATTTTGACGGTGGTCTCAACTGGAGCTGCCTTTGGTGCCAAGGTTGGAATGGGAACATCAGCTGAGGGTTTCCCAGCAGTTACTCCAACATCTGCTTCCACGGGCTCTGGGGTTGCTGGCTTGGTATCCACCACTGGAATAAGAACTGTTGTTTGGACTTCTGGCATTTCAATCTCGGTCTCTGCTTCCATTTTGAGGGTAGTCTCAACTGGAGCTGCCTTTGGTGCCAAGGTTGGAATGGGAACAGCAGCTGAGGGTTTCCCAACAGATACTCCCACATCTGCTTGGACGGGTTTCAGGGTCGCTAGCTTGGAACCTAGAACTGGAACAAGAACTGTAGTTTGGACTTCTGGCAATTCCATCTCTGGTTCACTTTCTGCAGTTGTCACTGCTGGTGCTGCTTCTTTAACTGTGGGTTCTTGTTCAATGGGGGTTGCTGGTTGGACCGTACCCATATCAACTCCTTCATCTGCAGGCTCGTCTTCCACTAGAGGTTGTGTAGCAGGAAGAACTTCAACAGGCTCTAAAAGGGGTAGAGTATTATCACAGATTTTCAATGAATTTGCAACAATTTTGCTTTGCTAACTTGATCTGTCATATTTAAACTGACACAATGAAAGCACAGAATTATAATTTTAATAATGGAAGGAAGTTGGGAAAGGTATTACAACTTTACATTTGGGGGGCTTAAATTAGGTGTAATTTGATGTGATCAGCATTAACATCATCAAACCCATCCACTATTCTTTTGGGACACCATATACAGTGAAATATCGATATCTCTGATAACTCAAAACAACTGTTAAGTCAAACAGGAATCCATTCCCTTTAGTTGTATAACAACGATATGCAACCCTGCTTTACTCTGCTTTACTCAAATTTCTGTTTAAGTCACATTTTGAGCCTGTTCCGTTGAGGTTTGATTTGTCGAGATTTCACTGTACCACATGCGGCTGATGTTAGAATCGTCAGTTACAACTTACAAAATGTACTTAAGAATCAGTTTAACTAGACTGGCTAGATGCAGCTAAAATTGATTACCTGTCAACTTAAATTTTAAAGGGAAGTGTTGTACATGTAACTGCCCTCCCCAAACATGCAGTAATTATAATAACAAGAATAGTTTGTAAAAAAAAAAAAAAAAGCAGAATCCATTAATCTGAGAGGTTAAAATTTAGCTGGCTCGAACAACACTGCTCCAAGTTTTCAGTCACACGGTGTAACGTCAATATATATTTTCTATGAAGATGTGACAATTCTGAAAAGTGAACTACTGTCTTCTTCAGAAGAATCTTTCTCCTGAGGGCTGACACGATACTTTGAGGCTCTGAGATCTTTCTTAAACTGTTTCTTAATGTAACCAAAACTCCTTCAAAGAAGAGATTTATCCTTGAAACTTGGTGCAACCGTACACCCTTACAACCTCATCACCTTTGCCATGCAAAGCTTAAGCCTTCATCACCAATTCTACGTTGTATTACACTGTATTTATTCACTGATGAGTATATAAGACCATAGAGTACTCTGGCAGTTCCGCGCAACACAAGGAGTAAGTGTCTCATGGGTTAAAGTCCAACTCACCCACGTGTTGGACCCTGTAGCCAAGTAGTTCTACCCTCATGGCGACACAGCGATGCCAGGAGATGGGGATGATCTTGATGGCTCGCACACAGATCTGACTGGGAAGGAGGTGGCACACGATATCCACCCCATCCATGTTGCTTTGGAACAACTATATAAAAAGAAAGAAGCAAAAGTGCGAGTAAGAAATAGAAACTCAGTGGTTTTCAATCTTTCTTTCCCTTTTAAAACCTGTGCCCAATTTCATGGCTTACAAAATTCTCCGCTTAATTAATTAATGTAGCAGAAAATCCTGTGCTCAATTAGCATATTACATGGGTTAGGCCCCCAAAAAGTCTCTGGTTTCTGGTCTGTGTGCGCATCGCCATAGCCATGTCCTCGGCAAAATTATTTTTTTTAAATTTGATGTAAGATAATGTCCCAAAACTGCCGAACTCACTTGTTGGACTGGAATCCTGCTGCTGCACAATTTTAACGTGTTTTTAGATGGGGTTACGATCGAGTATGAGCATTATGTGGCCTCTCTGGGCTCCCATATATTTTGCACAATCGGGCACCAATTGCAGACGGTATTGTAATCTTGTATTTGTGCGTCTGGATGCCAAACTTAGGGAGCAATAGTCATGTATCTGGAACCTGTAAACGCTATTTAAGTAGTGCAATATGTAAGGGAGCAGACTAATGACCAGCCTGGCAGCACATGCACGATGTCGCTGTCGCTGTATGGTCTGAGGTTACCGTTTTCTCTGATTTTTCTCTTGACTATCCAAATTTCCCAAAGAATGTTCACGTCGGTCGAGATCGTAAGTGGGTGCAGAATTCTCAAACCTTATGGCCTTACTGAGGTCACCTCAAGATCCACCCTCGCCTGAAGGATATTTTTGAGAGCAAAGTTTAAGGGAATTGAAGCGTCATCTGCAATATCAGCCGACATCTGAAGGAAAAAAAAGGGGGGGGGGAAACCTGCGTCGCCGCACCACTTTTGGGGCAAGCTCCATACCAGAAACCGGAGACTTTTTTTTGGCCTTAGAGAGGAACTTTGTCTAATGTGCATGTGTACATTCCATAAAACTCAGGATTCTGTGCTTACAGGGTTAGCCCACTATTTTTTTTTGGTAGCGCAGTCAGCATAGAATGGTGAATGTTAGCGCGAAATTCTGTAGGAAGCAGAGCCATGAAATTTGGCCCTTTGTTTTGTGTTTCAAATGATGTAATGTTGAGAAGAGCGGTTTCAACTTCGCAAGCGAATTCTAATTACAACAAACAACCAGGATTGCTAAGAGATTTTGCTCTTTTAGAATCTACCAAAAAAACAACATTTAACCCTTTTTTTCTCCTTGTGACATACAGAGCATACTGATCGGAACGCCGAGTTTCACAACCAACCGGTTCATTTCAGAACCGTACATCTTCTCAAAAGAGATTCTTTCACATAGTGTTGGTTCAAACCCGGGCACTAGTGTGCAATACCGCAATGCAGTTTCAACTCTTATTAACCCCTATTTACAGTCGACTCTTGTTAGTACAAACTCTGTTAATACAAAATTCTGGTTATAACAAACATAAGGCCTTGGTCCCGACCGTGCATTTATGTGCACAATGAATGGGACTGACGTTCCTCTTAATACAAAATTCTGATATAACAAACAATTTTGCTAGGTCCGAACAAGTTTGTATTAACGAGACTCGACTGTAATTAACCCCTATTTACTTCTGTCCAATTTCTGTTGGAATGCACCATGCATTTGCCTCAAACATCAATTGAAAACATAAACAGTTATCACAAGGAAATTGGTGTTTGATTCCGAGCTTTAGTCAAGTGCTTCACAAGTGAACAGCCAATTTCACGAAACTTTATGCAATGGCGTAAGTCCATTTGCGCCACAATTTATTTTGCAAGTTGCACAACATTTCACGATGCGCAACATTTAAGTTATGACAATTTCACAAAAGTTTCATAGTGTGCAACAAATCATGGCGTAACGTGCGTAATAATTTTAGGTGGTGTAAGTTGTGGCGTTGCAACTGAAAATGGCCTATTTTACCAGCAAATTGTGATTGTCGTGGAGCCTGTTTTTGCACAACTTATCAAGGTTGATACAAGACACCCATAGCTTTGTGTTTGAAGTAAAAGAATTGTTATTCTACTCGTGACAGAAATTTTAGTGTTGCCGCACGATTCTGAAGAAGTCGGAGAAAAACATTTTTCAAAATGGAGGGCAGAGGTGATTCACAACTGTTTCATGAAATAACAAAATCATGCACAAAACAGCCATCGTAAATGCTGTTATCATCCTCATCCAAGATGTTAAGATTATTTAAACCGTTGCGCAGCTACGCCAAATTTCGTGAAATCGATCATAATTTTTTTTTGTGCAACTGTGCAATAAATTTGTTGCCTAAGTCCTACATATGGCGTAAGTTACGCACTGTTTTCGTGAAATTGGCTGCTGGTAAAAATAACAGGAAAAAGCTTTAGACACAATTAATTTGAAAACACTTTGACAACTGGATGACTTTGAGATTGACATCTGATAAGTCGCGAGGACTTGTAAGTACTTTTATCAAATCTTGATTTTTATTTCATAAATTGAGAGAACTTGTTTGGAACAAACCTTGACAGTCCCGTCCGCTGCTTTGTACGGCACAAACACTTCCCCGTCCACGCTGGTCTCCATCATGAACTGGCTGACGTAGGACTCCTCCGGAACCAGACTACCCTGGGTGAGCAGGCCCTCCATGTCGGTCAGGGCCAGCAGGTCAATCTTCAGGTAGTACTGTTTCTCCTTGGCGAGGGAGGGGGTGTGGGGACGGCACTCAGCAACCCAGGCTCGGTTGGGCAGGTTCAGGCGGGCATTTTGAGGTTGGTAACCCTGGATTAATACACAGGTTATAGGTATTATTAGATCTTTGCAAAAGTTGTAAACAAGATTGATTTAATTAATGGTCCTTCATACAAGGTGGAAACATTATAAACAACACAAAAAAAAGAAAGTCCACAATCATTGGAGGGGTCATAATTCTAAATCTGATTATCTTATGATGACGTCTTTTATATAGACCTTTGGGGAATTTTGTTAGCTACATTTTGATGCCCAGTTTGCTACCAAAGACTGTAAATCATCCAAGATTGACAACGGTTTATGAAAAATGATGCAGTTTGAAAAGTTGCAAAATTACACGAGGAGAATGTGCTAAGCATAGCCACAAATGCCTATAATTAGCCCCTATCGACTGCACAGTGCCCGAACAAAGCGCGGGTAATTCAGTTCGCGTGCTGCCATGCATGCAAGCACTATGCGATCGGTATTCCCTGCTGTTCGTTTCGGGTAGTGTCACATTGTCACGCAGCAATTTCCACTCGCATACTCTTTACATTTGCAACTCTTTAAACTGCATCATTTTTCATAAACCGTTGTCAATCTTGGATGTCTTTGAAGCACACGGGGTATCAAAATGTAGCTAACAACATTCCCCAAAGGTCTATAGATATCAATGACGTCATCAAAAGACTATCAGATTCAAAACGATGACTCCGCCAATGAGTGTGGACTTTCTGTTTTTGTGGTGTTTATGATGAAATCAGGCCTTGCACCTTTAAAGGTATTACGTCAGTCTAAGTCTAACTTTTTATGGAGAAAGTTAAAGGGAATATACATCATTTGCTTTTGCTGTAATTTTCAGAAATGGATGGAATTGGGGGTTGGAAATATATAGCAAATATAGTTACACTGACTTTTTTGAGGTTTTGGGTTCGAAAATGCTATAAAAACCAAGAAAAACAATCATTTTCCTGTAGTCTGGTTCCCTGACTCCATTTAAGAAGAAACAGAGCAGTTTACATACATTGGGGAATTGTAAGGTCAGGGAACCAGTCTAGCTGGCTTGTACCCGTTCATAGGTGTGTAATCGATTGCAAACAAGTGCGATGGTCAACTGGGGCCAGTATTTGAAAAAAAGCCAGTTTTTTTTCCAACGCTGGTCGGCCGATCAGCGTTGGAAATTGATACAAAAATACCACTTTTCTTGAAAATGACAGTATACCAGGTGCCATGATTTTACAGGATGCTTTACACTGTCATTCACTAACAGTCCAGCAAGGTACATGTATTTCAAAATGATTTGGTAGTTTTATTGTTTGATGTTTGCAAATGTTGTATTTTCCCTTTAAGAATGAGACTATCAATTGGGCTTTAAATACACCTTCAGTGGTTTAGGTAAGCCTACACCAGAAAAGTTGCTTCATATAATTACTGTAAACAGATCAAGGAATGATTTCAAAAAGGCATAAGTGCGTGTCCTGACCGAACAACTCACTGATATTCTACAAGAGTTTAGAATTCAAACTTAGAAGAAAAACATTTAGACTCAGATCTTGACTTAAATCAAAATCAGACTTTAATATCCTATTCTCTTGATGGGCATGAAGGTTTAGTTCGAGACAAACAGAGTTTCGAGATAACTGAATTCGACATAACAAGACTGTGTTTTAGACACAAATATTCTGAAAGTACAATATCCGATGAGCTGAAAACTGCAACAGATGGGTTTTGTTTAATTGTGCTCCTCACTGCCAGTGTCTTGTAGTCGGAATCATCACCAAATTTTGGTTTAATGAAACGTGAAACTTTGCAAGACTTTTGATCTTCCAGGGAGGTGAAAGTGAATACAAACAATGAACTCAAACCTTCAGGTAGTTGCTCGCATCTATTTGTGCTCCATTGATTTCGCCAGACTCCATGCCAAGGTAGTGCGCTCCTTCTGTAAAATCATTTTGAAATTTTGAAATAATAAAAATTTTAAATGACAGGATTTTCTGGGTTTTTAGTGTCTAGATATTTTGAAACAGCTTTGCTGTTAAGTTGAATATTTCATGTTTCAGATTTTCCTAATATACAGGGTGGATAAAAAAAACCAAACCGAGATATTATTGCTAATTGGAACAGAAGTAGGGCACATGTGAATCAAAGGGAGATATCCTCTGTTAGGGTCGAATGTCCTCTTTAAAATGACACCCTGATCATGTTGTTACATTCACGGTTGACTGAGCAGTGACCAATTTTATTAAAGGGTCTATTTAGAGGCTTGCGCGACTTTTTAATTCTGGTTTTTGTGGTGTCATTTGTCACAGAGTGAAAGGCTATGGGTGCCAATCAAGGCAGGTGGGGGAAAAAAGAGATTTCACCATGAAAGTGGCGCAAGTCTCTAAATAGACTTTTTCATTAAAATTGGTCACTGCTCAGTCAACCGTGGATGTAAGGACATGATCAGGGTGTCATTTTAAAGAGGAGATTCAGCCCCATCAGAGGATACCTCCCTTTGATTCACATGTGCCCTACTTCTGTTCCAATAAGCAATAATATCTCGGTTTCATTTTTTTTTTTTTCACCCTGTATAGAGGGTGGGAGCCCAAGCACGGAAGATTGAACCCTGGACGCCTTTCCTAGACTATGGTCAACACGCTCCTAGAAGACAGCAGCGCGGCTAATGTGGACAAACTGAAAAAACTGATGAGGGAGAAGGAGGAGTTGAGAGTCCGTCATCGCGCACGACGTCGACCCCTTAGTCCCGAGTCGATGTAGTAATAGTTGTAGCCTAGTGGTTAGGGTTTGTGACTCATGATCAGAGGGTCAGGGGTTCGAATGCAGCTGCTGGCCATGTGTTGTGTCCTTGGGCAAGCCACTTCACCCACACTTGCCTCTTTCCATCCAGGAGTATAATTGAATACCGTCATTAGCTGGGGCAGCAGCATAGCCAAGGGGGGTCTGGGAGAAGCATACCCCCCCCCATCCCCCCACCTCCCCCCCCCCCCAATTCCCCGTCTCCCACCAGAAATTTGTTGAGTCCTAAAGTGAGCATGGTTAACGGGTTCAACAGAAATTGGGCGCCCCAACTGTAACATCCAGACCCCCCCCCCCTCACTCACCCCCTATGGGGAGAACTCAGGCTACACCGCTGAGCTGTGGACTAACCTGCGATAGAGTGGCATCCCATCAATATGGATGAAATATAGAAATATTATACAAATATTGAGTGGCTTTGAGTGGAATTGTAGGAATATTATTGCAAGGGTAAAATCTGGGCTTTTTTATTCCACGAGGCGAAGCCGAGTGAAATGGAAAAGTCCAAATTTTACCGAGCGATAATATTCCTCCCATTTCACAATTTAAAGCCACTCAATAGCTGACATATAGATCCTTGCCATACAGTTAAAATGAACTTCTATTTCAATACAAAATTGGTGGGAAATGTATTTCTCTCTTTCGAATCACTCCTTCACGAAATGTTTGAACCGGCCAACTCTGTAACTACTGGCTCTTGGGAACAATACCCACTAGGCTAAATGCTTAACGCGCACAACAGCATGCAAATGCACACAAATACCACGCCATGGAACAAGGATGATCCTAACTGTTGAAGAGTAGATCCCATTCACCATGGGCGAATGGGACTTTTAGAGCCCTGGTGTGAATGGGAGCAATAATGAATGCCACGTGATATTAGTTCCACCAATCAAAAGACAAGGATCTGTATGTCAGTTATATAATTTCAGTCATATCATGTCATGGAAATCACAGATAAATGCCCTCTTAAAGGGAATATACAACATTTGCAAACATCGAAAAATAAAACTACCAAGTTTTTATGAAATACCTTACTAGGATGTTGGTAAATGACAGTCTAAAGCATCCTGTAAACTTATGGCACCTGGTGTGAAGTCATTTTCAAGAAAATGGTATTTTTGTATATATTTCCAATGGTGGTCGGCCGACCATCGTTGGAAAAACCTAACTATTTTTCAACTACTGCTCCAATTTTACCACTTTCTTCAGTCCAAATTTTGTTTGCTATTGGTTACATGTTCATGAACGAGTGCAGTCCAGCTAGACTGGTTCCCTTACCTTACCATTTTCCGGAATCTATAAATTGATCCATTTCATCTTTAGTGGAGTCATCAGGGAACCATACTACTTGAATATTTTTGTTTCCTTGGTTTTTTTTTTGCCTTTTCGAACACAAAACTTCAAACATGTCATTGTAACAATATTTGATATATTATACTAACCCCTCAAATAGTCCATTTCTGAAAATTACAGCAAAAGCCAATGATGTACATTCTTGGACATGTACATTCCCATGGGAGCCACACTCCGACAGAACCACTAACACAGAAAGAAAATATCAATCGGGAAAACTATAACTGACCTTTAATCCGACAGGTGGGCCCTGGTACAGGGGTCGCGACCCCGTACACTTTGACCTCTGACACTTGCAGGTGGGTCAACTCGTTGGGGTTGTCAGGGTTCAGCTCGATGCTGACGTAGCGGCCGACGGGTGGAATGCCGTCTATGCTCTGACACTGGATCTGATGAGGGGGTTTCAAAATGAAATCAAAAATCACAAACTGGAAAATTGACAAGTTCGTCCAGACTCAAAAGGAGGCTAAGTTAAAAGTTTTTGCAAGAGCGTGTATTCCTAGGACCCAGGAAGTCTGAAAATTTGGGACTCTCAATACTGTGTATGAGAGTCCCAAAACTTAAGGTATTGACAAACATGCAATACAAGAAAATAGACTGGAACATGAAACAACCAGTTCAACAACTCTTCAGTACTACTGCATCAATCAACTGTCAGCTGACTGTGCCAAAAGAAATATCTAGGATGTCGGGTACTAGGTCACTATTTCTACACATTTCTCCTTAGTCAGGCACCAGACTAATGACAATGAATGAAGAAGTCAGTCTTGTCAAACAGTTGGACCATGGATGGACATGTAGAAGTCTAGTCTTTAGCCTCATATTGAAATCACTTGACTTCCCTCTCTTGAGCAAGCCACTGCCAAATTTTGAAGGAAAGTCTCCTTTAAAAATTGAAGTAAGTCTTTAAACTCGGTTGGTGAAGTACCGAGGAACTTTTCTTTTACCCAGTAACAGTTTTGGAGAAATTTGCTGGTTAAAGAGTGAGTAAAGTTGGCCTGATCTTCTTTTGCATCGTTTTGAGCACTTAAGGACCCAGTCTGGGACCCACGTTGCCTCATGGATACACGCATGATCGTCACAAAAATATGTATTGGCAATATTTTTACAACTACTGGCTTCCCGTACACATGTTGGCGTTCCCTCACACCGTAAAGAAAGGGAGTATAATGCCTCTTTATTTCTTACGCATGCAAAATTGATAAAAAGTTGTATAGGAGATCACAGTCTACTGTAATATTCCACAGACTTGAGTTGATAATGTGATTAAACTTCAGCTATGTTGCTCATAGAGTTCTCATGAAATTTAGCGTACCTACACAGATTCTACAAACTCGTAAAGTTTTCGAGTTTGAAAGTGTAGTTTCAAAATGCTCTTATTTTAACCAGAATTAATTTCCTTGGACTTAATAATCTTTTTTCTGAAACTCTTCCATTTGCAACAGATTAACATACCTTGGAAATTCCTATTTTTCTGAGTAAAGTCCATATATCTATGTCGTGATAACCTTGTGGAGACGTATTCATCTATAGAAATTGCCCTGTGGAGACGTATACAATCTTTTGTTCCCTATTGTGTGCATGTCTCCAGAGGGTACGGTGTATCAGATCCTGGTCCAGTCGATGTCAAAATAATCCCTGTGTGGACTGATTAATGTGGGTCAAAAAACCCTATCTACTGTCCATTCATGGAATCCGTAAGAACTGTGACACGATTGTTTTATCTCCACATAACTGCTCTGAAACAAATCCTAGTGCTACTCCCTACAATGCGGCCTAGTGGTTAGGGTGTGCGATTCATGATCAGAGGGTCAAGGGGTTCACATCCAGCTGCCAGCAGTTTTTTTTGTTCATGGGCAAGCCACTTTGCCCCCACTATCTATACCCAGTACTATAATGGGTTCCGGCAGTAGATGGGGAGTAACTGGGATGGACTAGTATCCCATCCAGGGGAAATAGAAATATTCTCAGTCGTTTCATGCCAACGGAACCAGAGATAAACGCCAGCCTGATGGGCCCTACTGGCTTGAAACAGACTTACCTACTGAAAGTCACCTGTCAAGACTGATTTTGACAGATAGCCAGAGAGAGGAAGTGAGAGAGAGAATATTTGGAAAGGCAAAATAAACTCCAGTTTACCTGAACAGACTCCCCCGGTTCTACCTTCCTGCGATAGATGGCCGTGCAGGGCGGGTTGTTGTTCACATCTGGGTTGTCTCCAACGCGGACCACAAAATTAGTCAAGATTTTCGGCTCGGCACACACTGTAAGAAAAAGAAAGAATTAAGCTTTTCATACCAAAATGTGAAGATATACAGAAGGAACCCTGGAAACATTTCCATATACGAAGTTCACTCAACACCCTGTGTACAAACCCTATGAGATTGGACTGAAAAATTCTAAGTGTTTTCTAAGAAAATGCTTGTATTTTCTCACTGCTCAAATTGACTTTGATGACATGAAATTGCTATCTGGGGGCTTGTTAGTCAATACAGAGGAAAATTAGTGACCTTCGTATATGGAAATCTTTCCGGAACCCTGTGGAAAACAGTAACCCCGTGATGACCTTTGACCCCAGTTTGGTCATGTGACATGTTTGGGCTGCGCTACTGATACTTTTGAGAAACTTTGGTTGAAATCGGTTCAAATATGTAGGAGCAATAGACAATGTCAACGTTTGTTACAAACTTTTGTTACGTATGGGACATAGCATGCGCAAATTCTTGGACTAGCCTAACAGCCTTTTTGGGGCATTTCAAATCGCTGAAAGTAAAAATCTCTTACGCATGATTCCTGGATTGTTGATGGCCACGAAGTAGATCTGGTAATGATCCTGGAGGTCCACGTACCACCAGGGCTGGGTCTGGACTTTGGTGATGACAATGCCCTCATCTGATGCAAAAACAAGGGAGAAATAGAACATGTAAGTTGACCTAAAAAACCTGTCCGATTTTACGAGAATACAGCACATCACTATGAACATCTGATCCCTTAAACTTTCATTAAAAGTCCATTTCTCCGTGAAAAGAATCTTTAAGAGACGTTTCACAAACATTTACATGGGGCTTATATAGGACTAATCCTGTAATAAGGGTATTTTCACGTTTTTTTAATGCCCCTGGCCACTGAGGATTATCATTGGTTATACATAACGGTACACTGGGTCTATATCTCCATGGGTAAACAAAGGACTTTCTTAAGGGTGTTTTCACGGCTTAGTTTGTTGAAAAATCCATGAAAATTTTGTTAACTGTAATTTCAAGGGAAAATGGTTCTCTAACGAATGATCTACAATGCGTGTGACATCCTATTTTTTGCAGTTATTTTTTTGCATTATTTTGTGTCCTGACTGGGCCAATCCAATCAAGGGTAATTAAATGGGTATCTCAAAAAAAGAAAGCATTACAATTTACATAGTGAAAATATTGCAAAATAATGTCTATTATGAAATTTAAATTGTTGATCTCAATTTGGTCAATTCAAACAATTGGGGAAATCCATACACGGGAGTCTGTGACTAGACTAGTTAGTGTTTGGTACCAAGACATTCAGATTAAAATACTGCAAGTTAAACTTGCATGATCCCGGCGTGCTGGCAGTAGTTTTAGTAAGTTTAAGCACACTTTTTAGTTTACCCAACCAAAAACAACAATAACCTAACTGGACCCCTAGATGACCTTTGACCTCAAATGTCTCAAGTCATAGTCCCCCTACCCACAGATCAATTTTTTGGATTCTAGATGCTTTGTGGTGCGATCTGAGGCAATTTCTGACCACTTTAACCAATGTTTTTTTGAGGAAAAGATGGTGGTGTACTCATTGCCTGCCTTTATTGCGATGTCACATAAAAAAAAAAAAAAAATGGGTTTCGTTTTGGGGGGGGCCATGGCCCCCTTTGGCCCCCCCCCCCCTGGATCCGCCCTTGCCACAGATTATTGTCACCAAGTTTGGTGGACAGTAAAGTCTGACTTTCCATATAACAGCACTTTCCAGTTTACATAACCAAAAACAACGACCTCATTTGACCCCTAGATGACCTCTGACCTCAAATGTCCCAAGTCATCTGAACTAAACCAGGGGTGTGAGTGACCAATAATAAAAATAGCTGAAAACAGCTAAAAAAAAAAAAGTGTAAAAAGGCTGAACTTTGGAAATCTCCTATACTTTTGTACACAGCAAGTGAGGGAAAAAAGCTGAAATCCAAAACAAAAAAAGCTGAAATCAGCTTTAAAGCTGAGATTTCACACCCCTGTAAACCAAAGATTATTGTCACCAAGTTTGGTTGATTTTGAAGTCTGACTTTTCATATGACAGCACTAAACAAATTCATAACCTAACCAAAATGGAACGCGGACATACGGACACACAGAAGGAATACACTATCACAAGATCCCCCTTTCTTGGCTTAAAAGCCAGGGGGAAAAAGTGACAGTGGACTGGTGAGACTTACACGCTCTATAAGAAGCAATTTTTTCTCCATTCCATTTCACAAGTCTTCCCTCTTTTCATTCGGTCTTTTATCCCAGAATGTGGAAATTTGGAAAGTTCCTGCATTGCCAATCTTTGAGATTTTTCCCATGACCTTGGAAATTTGAGCCAGGCCTTGGGAAAGTTTCCCCAAATCTATGGGATTTTGTGGGAATTGAGTGGGGATTTGACTGCAGTCATCTTGGGATTTTCAAATTTGGTTTATAGTGTGCAACATCATGTGCAAATAAACTTACCGTCTTTGCCATCAACAGCACCACTGGCTCCAAAGATGGGCTCAAATGTGCTGGACTGCTCGGCCGGCTTGTACAAGGCCAGGTTCTGGATCCCGCCTCCACTGGACGTCGGAACTGCACGAGACAGTCAGCAAAATGTTCATTTATCATACAAACCACAAGTGGAAACAGTCTCACTGTTGATTGATCAATCAATTTGGACTCAGTCCACAAGTACCCAACCTCGTCCCAGGGGTGTCGAGCAGTACGCGCCCACCACTACCTGCTCTCTCACCCTGGTATTGGATCATTTGCATGTGCAAGATTTTTGAACATGTATGCAAATGAGGAACAGTCTGGTGCCTGGATATGCATTACACATTAGCGTTTGTTTTTGTATGCGGTGTCTGGGGTAAAAACAGAGTCAATTCGTAGCAGTCCAGCACGGCGTGAGTTACGAAAACACGATTTTTGAAATCAAACTGTTATGATCTTATCGACTCGGAGACAACATGCAGTATCATATTTCATATTAAGATGAGCAAATTGGAAAGGAAATTAGTATTTTCGAGAAGGCGTGGACGAATGATCGCGAAAACACGTACTGCACGTTGTGAATAATAGCACCAAGTACACGATAAAAATCCATTACTAGCCAATTGCGGTATCCAATCAGGATACAGGAAGAAAGTTTCCTATCCAGGGTATACTATTGGAGACGCGGTTGGAAATAAAGTAAGCACTGGGGACGAGGTTGACAAATACCCCCCTCAATGGTTAGAAAGAGAGAGTTGGGGGAGACCACTCGGCGGGACATTTAAACGCGTCGCTGTCGACACGTCACGTTCACGTGGAAATGTGTTTGTGCGCATCCAGAATTATAGCCGTGCATACTTCATGCCATGCACGCAAGAACCAGTACGCACAGACCGCGTGTCCCATGCTTAACCCTAACCATCCCAAATCCTCCAAAATCCTTTTTGCAAATTGGAGGAATTTGCAGGATGAGGTTAATTACATGGCAAAAGTGCGTTGCTGATTTCGGAGGACGCACTGTGTCAAGGTCTTGGGCCGGACCTTGTGTTGTTTATGCTCAGCCTGGCATAAATTCAGTCCTTGATTATACTTGAAATCCTCCGCACTGCTCCAGGATGTCACTGCCTCTGCCTCAGCCTACTGACAGTCATAGCCGGAGGATTTTGCAGGATTCAGGCAGTAGTCACCTCTCCACGGACCCAAGAAATAATGGAGGAATTTTTGCAGGATTGAGGCTATATGCAATTTTTCCATGAGGCCAATTGGAGGATTTTGCAGGATTGAGGCTACATCCTAGCTAAAAGGCCTAGGGAGTTAGGGTTAATGCTCTGCAGGGAGTCCATAAGTTTGAACAAAGAAATAGAATGGAGCAGGGTTTGAACCTATGACCTCTGGAATGCTGCACTGGTGTTCTACCCACTCAGTTATCTCTGGATGGTCTTTAAGTTTCTCAGTGTGTCGCCAATGTGTTGCCAGGATAAAGTTGTACTGAGCTACAGAGTCGAACACCCCTCCAGGTGCGCCCATAAATAAAATTGAAATTGCCCCCCCCCCTAACAATTGTCTTTTTGGGGGTTGTTTTCTTAATAATTAATAATAACAGAAGAGGAGTGAAGCCGCTACTTTTAATTGATGCTTCTAATTCCCTCCCCTGCCCTCCTACAGATCAGTGAAAATAGGAAAAGGCCTGGCTACCCCCGGAAATGGACAAACCTGATTTATAAGGTTTTTTATGGCAAACCTGCCCATAGAGTTTGTCAGTTTGAGAAAGAACTGGAAGAAAATCATTTATTTCTATGACAGAGTTTTGCATCAGGGGATGTAAATTTAATCTTTGATTTTGCCCGTCACAAACGTAATATCAAAACCAGTATTTCCTCAGTGCTGTCAGAGGGCTTGCGAGAAACAGAAAGAACGGGTGAAATATACAATTGATGGCAATATTTACCCTCAGGTTCTTGACCGTAAAGCTCCACCCGCATGCCGATGCGGTTGTAGTAATCCTGGGGCAGGAAGCGTACATAGCGCGCGTTGATTGGATCTTCCAAGTTGTGGTGAACGATCTCGTCGCAGTCCGAGTTACCTTTGAACATCTGAAGTATTGATGGGGAAAGGACAGGAAAAAATTACGAATTATATGTAGTAGGCTTCTTGTTAGAAGATAGAATGGCTGGGTTGTGATTGACTAGTGACTGAGTTGTGACTGACTTGGATTGACTTGTGATTGACTTTTGATTAACTTGTGATTGACTTGTGATTGACTTATGATTGAGTTGTGATAGACTTGCAATTTACTTGCGATTGACTTGTGATTTGCAATTGTCTCAAAATTCACTTGTGATTGACTTGTGATTTACTTGCGATTGACTTGCGATTGACTTGTGATTGACTTGCCATTGTCTTGCGATTGACTTTTGATGAACTTGTGATTGACTTGTAATTGAATTGTGATTTAAAGATATAGTCCATCATTTGTAATTTGTGCATTTTGTTCGTTTGAAGCAACAAAAGTGCTCAAAATCTAATGAAGGATACTGAACAACTAGCCTGATGAAGTTTCAGCTAAGCTTCAGCTGTATATTCTGAGAAAAAACAGCATTCTAGGATCTCAATTTCAAATCAAAAGTTACTGAATCATGTTTTGAATTGTTTTGAATTGCAGCTATACGCGACGTCGCGCACGGATCCGACGAATTGTAGCAACTGCGCGCGCGTGTGCATCCCAGAAAGAATTATTTCACAGGGAGTTTAGTTCCCTTACTATCTTTCAACCAAGTTTGTTTTTCAACAATAATTACGCCAGTTACTTTTCGGATGGCTGCAAATGATGGACTATAGCTTTAATTGTGATTGACTTGTAATTGACTTGTGATTGACTTGTAATTGAATTGTAATTGACTTGTAATTGAATTGTGATTGGCTTGTGATTGACTTGTGATTGACTTGTGATTGACTTGTGATTGACTTTTTTTTTGGTTCTTTTTTTGTTCCCCCCCCCCCCCCCCCCCCCCCCCCCCCCCCCTTCGGACCTTTTTTTAACGGACTAGCCATCGAAATCATCAAGATTGTTCACACTTGGGTGGTTTTTTTGTGGTCTGTTTCAAGTCGATCATTACATTATATAGCTTCGTGAATGACTGCTGAATGTACGTTTGAGGTAGTCCGAGTAACTTGGACCCAACTTATCGCCTTTTTTAACAAGTTACTCGGACTACGTATGAGGTATGTAAATGAAATCTGGGGTGGGATATTTGAGGTGAAAAAGGACAATTTTTGGGAGGCCATTCTGGAAGGGTCTCTTGCTACCACACTCTAACTCCCTAGTTAGTAGTTATGTCTCCAGCGCTACATGTGAAGTATGAACATGTCAGCTGGAGTTAAAAACTCTAGTCAGACTTTGTACACAACTACAGTCTACAGAAGTGCGTATTCTTTCCAAACAGTCTTTTCCTGGAGGGTTCGATAGTCTTCAGTATTTAAACATGGAGGAATAAGAACACAGTTTATCTTGAGTTGAACTGAATTGAATTGAATTTGGTACTTACGTATCTGGGAAAAGTGACTTGTGTGTTAGGACTTGGACTGGAGCTGTTTGACTTTCGTCAATGACATGAACACGTTCACCGGTCAGCCGGTACCGCGTCGTGCACGTGGACCCCGTGTGTTTGTTAGGACGCCCTCCATTGTCCGAGAGGCGTTATTGACTGATCCCTTAGGAAAAGTTTCGAGCGGTTTAGGGATAGTCTCAAAAGGTCGTTATGCAGAATAGGGATTTGGCGCTGGATCGTGTGCGTAAACATAATACATCTGCAATTATTGCTTGCTTAAATAGCTTGCTTGTAGGCATCCTCGTTGTCGTGTCTTCCAATTACTCAAAAGAACAGTTAGGCATTGCATTTCGAAATATATGATTGCGGAATAACATTTAAAAATAATATTTAAGATGAAAATAAGATGTCCAAGAAGATGTCGCATGTCGTGCATGTCGTGCATTTGTTTTCCGTGATTTTCTTTGATAATATCCCTGGAGTTGATGCAGTCGTTTCTAAAGTTAGGCCTGATTGTTAAAAAAAAAATCAGGATTTCATTTGGATTTTTCCAATTCACTTATCACTTACCATTCCTCTGCCGTTCCGTTTGCCTTCCCTGTCCCCTCCGTAATAGTTCCAGTTGCTCCCATCAGAGCTGTGCGCCAGGTTGTATGACGTCACCCACTCGTCTGAGTTCCCGGCCCGTCCTTGGGTGGCCACCCCCGTGATGATAGTCGGATTGACCAGGTCGATCTGCAGGTACTGGTCGCGGTTCAGCTCCAGGGGGGACCACCCTCCTGCGCCGGCATCGGACGGTAGGGCGTTCAGACGCGCACGGTGCGGGCCCATGTGGTCGTCGATGTAGGACGAGGCGGACATTTGGCCGTCGGGGATTCTACCGGAGCCCACACCCAGGGGTACGGGGTTTGGAAGAGCTTTTTGAGAGACAATGGGAAATCAAATTTTAAAATAAGTAACCCTAAAGTGCCGGGCAGCCTGCTCTGATATCACTGCCAGTGACGTGATTATGGCCAATTTGCAAGAAGGAAACATCGAATCGGAGAAAACATCAAATTCGTCTTATCAGTGATTCATCTTATCATCAATGTTGGCGTCGTTTTGCTATTACATGTACCTGGATCACGATGAACATGAATTCCGTATCCTTCCCGACTTCTCTCTGCAGAATAAATAAAATAACCAAAACAATGATTATGAAACACATTTAATTTAAATTTGATGAACTGAAAAAGATGCAAAAGTTTGCGTAATTAACGATTTTGAAAACTTACCAAAGTCTTTGTTCAAAACATACGGCGGTCCGGCTGGATCTAAAATTTAAAAAAGCAATGAAAAAAGCGAGTCACTGTTTAATTATCTTGTCAAAATAACATTGTCCCGGCCGTTTGTTCTAAATCTAAAAATAGTCTAAACATTTTGGGTTTTTTTTGTTTTAAATCTAAATTGACACACGAAACACAGGGTATTTAATTGCAATGCTGTGAAAATTTGTTGCGTAAAATAAATACTATTGAAGAATGAACCAAACAATTTAATAATCATGATTGAACAGAGGGATTGACCGGAACAGGGTTTGAACCTACGACCTCCCGATTACCGGTAGCGCGTCGGCGCTCAACCAGCCGAGTCATCCGCCAACATCAGTTGGTAGAGTTCCTGTATCCGGCAATCCGGAGGTCGCAGGTTCAAGTCCCGCTGCAGTCAATCTCTTAGTTCAATTTTTTATAAGTAATCAGTTTCCCTTTGTGGATTATTTGACTGGTTAAACATTTTGATGAGTTCTTACTGTTCTTCCCATCACCACACCCGGCGGTTGTGCCGCATTCCGTGCATCTGTACGGATCATTGGCGCACGGGCAGCCCCCGTTGATGCAACACGCGCAGGCCTCCTTGCTAGGGTTGCCCGGGCAGGGACACTCCATGGCCCCGGTCCAGCCATTCACTACTCGGTCCTTGATGACTGGATGTGCTGTCAATTCCAACCAAAAAAAACAAAGGAAAATGCTCATGGTGGATGTCACATGGCGAATGATAAAGTCATCTTGACGTTTCGACAGAAATACAAATATACCCGGGTAAGTAAAAAAAAACCACGAAACCCAAATGTCGGGGCCATTGTTTTAGTAAAGTTGTATGTGTAGCACCTTCAAAATCTAGGATATTAAAGCCCAATTCATAAGCTTTCTTTTAGTACAAGAATCATTCGAATCACTTATGTACTCTTTAAGTTACGGAATTTTAAACACAACCGCCATTTTAAAGTTCTGTCCACGGATCACAAAAAGGTAAGTGTTCTTTCAGTAAAACGAAAACTTAACCAAAAACGCCCCAACAGATGCCATAAACTCTTGTGTTAAACTTTGCTAAGGCTCTGAACTTTCGAGGTATTAGCTAATCTCTGGACTGTATCCGCTTGAGCTGAATAAACTCGTTACTAGAAATATACTTTTCATATTTCCATTTAACTACCAAACTAATTCATCTCAAACTAGTACTAAGCATTCGGAGAGCGTAAACCTCCGCCAAGGCTATACAATTCCCCGCCATCATTACTGTCAGTAGGCCTACACGCGAAAGAAATACTCGCATAAAATTTGTGAAGAATCCTTAAAACAAATCCTGGATCCAGACTCAGATCCGGACCACTTCCAAAATCTAATCGATTTGCGCTTGTACCAAGGACCACCCCTAAAAGAAATTTCATGCAAATCCGTCCATAAGTTTTTGAGTTATCTGGTTAACAAACCAACCAACAAACAAACTAACCAAATCCGATGAAAGCATAACCTCCTTGGCGGAGGTAAGGCCAAAAAAAAAAATATTCGGTCTCTGGTCAGACCAAAGTTCCGGAATTGAGGCGGCCACGCGGCTTTTTTTTTTTTTTTTTTTTTTTTTTTCAAGCTTGGATTGTACAGACAAGGTAGGTACTATTTTGCTTTTATGGTGTCCTCATGTACATTGGTGTCCTCCATAATTTGCCTTGGTGCTTTCGATCATTTGCCTGGGTGCAATTTCCCATTCTTTGGTGCTCTTTGGTAAAAAAAATCGAGGAGGTGCAGAAATAGAGGGCGCTGTTGGAGCTACCGCGGACTGACATTTTGGGAAAAAAAAGATCGACGCGCATGATTAAAATCGACGCGCGCGCTGACCAGAGACCGACTTATTATTTTTTTTTGGCCTAATAATGGTCGTCCAATAACCGTGGCTAGTATTTTAACAAAATAAGGATGCACAAAATTACAAAACAGGAATTTCTTTGAACGGTCCTTTTATCTTCACTGGCTTAAAAACAAAATCATGTTAAGTGGACACCTACGTATGCCGCATGTGTATTCCTGGCCACACTTGACGCAGAGATTGTGTGCGCCGATCGGACACTGCGCCCCGCCCACGATGCAGCAAGCGCAGTCCCGTCGGGTGAAGTCGAACTGACACGTGCACCCGGAACGGCGCAGCGTCCAGCGATCAGCGTACTGGCTGAAATCGTCTTGCATTGCTGGTAAAAGACAGGGAAAAAAAGGATAAATCAGTGATGATTATATAGTTTGTTTTGCAGCAGATCTTACTTTGTGTTTGACCTTGTCTCTTCCAAGTACCTCCAGGAGCCTCTCTTAACCAGCGGCGGCGGAAAGGTTTTCAAACTGAGGTGGGGGGGGGTAGGGGGGGGGTGTTCCTCACCGAAAAGGGGCACTTGCTCAGTAAAAGGCATTTTCCGTCGGTGCAGCCGCGTATCGATCTTTTTTTTTTGCACACCCGTGCTGAAATGTCGACACTTTTTTCACCGGGCCTCGATAAAATCAAATATGGGGGGGGGGGGGGGGGGGGGGGCTGTTACCATCTTCCAAAATAGGGGGTGTTCTTCAAAACCGGCATTATGCAAACTATGCATTATGTGCCCATTTTCAGGGCGCATTGTAAGGCTTTTGGGGCTTGGTTTTCATATTTCTCGTTCATATCAGAACTCTCTATATACCAGTTTGGGAAATGGTTACTGAAAACAAATTATCCGAAATTTTAGGCCAAGTTTTTCAACCCTGCGTTCAATTCATCCCGCGTTGTTTCACACTTGTTTAGTGCAAACCGAGCTTATTTCGCTCGGTTAACCCTGGCGAGATTTTCAACCCGGGCTGCCGAAATCAATTCCAGGGTTGACGCATGGTTGAACATCTTCAAGACGAAAACTTCATACACAAAAACACATCAAATGCCTGCTAAAGTCCCGTCTTGGCAGCTACCCTCTCCCCTTAGATCCAAATCAGGATCCGCCCCAAGATTACAGGAAAGAGAAAGAAAATGTGTGTTGCAAGACATAGATTTGGAGAAACTGGTAGGCCTATGTGTATGAAATTTGTCTAGTTTGCAGGGGCAGGGGAGGGGAATGGCTTATTTTTAATTTCCCCCCCCACAAATAAAAGCTCCTTTTGGCATTACTCACCTCCATTATTCCTGGCAAGTGGCTGAGAGAGGGCGCCATTGTAAGAAATTGCTGACAGCATCAGCAAGGGAAGGCAGGCAACACCTAATGGAGACATCACTGCAGGAAAGAGATTAAAGTTTATGATTGCAAATGTTAACACTTAGAAAATTAATCTCTATCATCATCACAGCCAAAATGGAAAAGGCAGGTAAATTATTTCGAAAGAAGTTATCAAAATCCAAAGTTAACCGGCCCAGTTTCGAATAATGTCAAACAAATGGGTTTCAACGTTGCAGATCTTTGATGTGATGAGAAACGATTACAGGAGTCAATTTAATATAGTCGAGTAAAACAATATTTGGTGCTGAATATTTCCTGTCGTTAAGAGGCATTAACCACGATATCACAGGGAGTCAGGTTGGCGTGGCGGTACTTTCCCCGCCTTCAACCGCCGTTGTGACCCGGGTGCGAATCCCGCCTGGGCCAAGACGTGAATCGGCTTTTTAGTCACTAAACCTGACTCCATGGGTTTTCGCCAGAATATTCTTCTGGGGTTAACCTCCCACCTCTACAGTAATGTCTTCTCTCTTCAGGTTTCGGAAAGAGTCCCATAGCTGGCCATCCCTAATTTGTCCCTGCATACAGTGACCTATCAGCCATCAAAAAGTGATATGTCCTAAAAAGTCAAATTTAGCAGGGAAAACATTGAAGCATTAGGCCAAAAAAAAAAGTCTCCGGTTTCTGGTATGAAGCTTGTCCAAAAAGTGGTGCGGCGACGCGGCTTTTTTTTTTTTTTTAACCTGACTTTTTTGCTTCAAATGTCGACTGATGACTGCAAATGGTGCCCGACTAAACTTAGTGCAAATATATGGGAGTCCAGAGAGGCCACATAAAGCTTATTCTCGATCATAACCCCATCTAAAAACACGTTAAAATTGTGCAGCAGCAGGATTCCGGTCAAACCAGTGAGTTTGGCGGTTTTGAGACATCATCTTTCATTGAAAAAAAAAACATTTTCATTTTGCCGACGCGCATGGCTACGGCGACGCGCGCGCATACCAGAAACCGGAGACTTTTTTTTTTTTGCCTTACTGAGAAAACAGACATTTTCATTCTGGCCTCGTAGGGTTTGTGCACAGGGTGCATGTCCATTATTGTCCAGGCAGGACATCTTTCCAAGGTTTCTTCAAGCTTGCGAGCAGCAGTGTCCAGGACACTTTTGAGGAAATCTTGGATTCATTACCAGAAATAATTAATCATAATCATAATAGTTGAGTCGTAAATTCCTCACCAGTCCATCACAAATCATTAAGTCTCATGTCAAGTAAAATGATATTCATAAGAACTGTGACAAAGACATACCTTTATCATTGTTCAACTTCACCCCCTGTTACTTGTGCTACCCACCCACCCCACCCCATCCACCCCACCCCACCCACCCCACCCCACCCCACCACACCCCACCACCCCTTACCCCAACCACCGCCTCCCCGTTATGCGCCTATCAAAGTCCCCCCCCCCCCCCCCCCGCGCAGCCCGAGGTCCGATGTCGGGATTTGGTCACGTTTTTCATGCCCAAGGGTGAGGATTTTGGTCACTCAATTTACATTGTTAACATTGGCGTGCTATACATGGAAAGGCAATCACTAGTGCGCCCCACGTATGTATGTCGGGCATGGTCGGGGATTGTCTCTTAAATTTTGCCCGAGGGGTGGGGATTTTGTCACTTCAAAAGTGACAATCCCCACGTCTTGGGTGGGGCAGCCCGGGCGAGGGGTGGGGGAAACAATTGATAGGCGCATTACATGAACAAAATCGATCGGCTATTAAGCTCATACACTTGATTATACACCATTAATGACAGATGTGTCATGAGAACAGACATCAAAATGACATTTCAGTAACCTGCACGTGTTGTTAATGACTCTCCTATGGTGAAGTAAGAATTACCAGTCACTTTAACACCAAGGATGAGTTCACAGCTGGTGTGGTGCTTAATTGATATTTTTATGGGCTTAATAAGGTGAATGGATGCGTTTTACACTGTGGGAAAATGTGAACTATTCATTTCATTTTATGTAATTTGCACACGATGGGACGAGACACGACCTTTTAATTACACGTATATGGTAGGGGATAAAGGGGGTCGGTGGTCTAATTTTCAAAGGAGGGGAGGCTTCGGGCCATGCACATACGACAAAAAGCGAGTTTAAAATTAAGCCTTTTAATATAGGTTTTCCCGGCTATTGTAAAACATTTTTCGTTCGAATTCACAGATTCTCACATTCAAATATGTCCAGCATCATCGATTTAGTGCACTTCCCATATTTAATTTCGTCTTTTGTCAAACAATTTCAAATTTAGTCCAAATGAATTCAAACAATGAGAACAAGTTTTCGACCATCAGGAGAATTCAATTTCGTCTCGTCTACGCCGAATCGTGTTATTGCCAAATCAAATTCGTCTAATGTCACACAATTTAAATACAATTTTGTTCAACTTCGTCATTCTTCATAGCGATATCTTCAAAGGCATACATGCCTCTATTAAGAATAAGTCTTTACTTTTTTATTTCCTTTTTCATATATGTGTCATTTCTTTTGTTTTTATATAATTAGACTCAATATTTTAGGCATATTACACGGGGATTTATGGGTGGCTTTTGACATTTCCTTTTTTTTCATTGTAAGACTTCTTCTTTTCTTTTGTTTACAAATAATGTTGTATTCATAATCTTGGATATCTTTACTTTTTGGTAACTCTTCTTTGAGATCAGTACCCTGCTTTGGTCCAAAAAATCATGCCAGCGAATGTGCCAAATTGTGCTATGGGACACAAGGAAATTCTCTAGAACACACCTGACTAATTTAATATGCAAGTTTTAAATTGATTGATAAAAGACGAATTTGATCTCTGAATGCTGCCATTCCACAACAGCCTAAACGAATTTGATCTGTAATGACGAATTTTCTCTACACGATGATGACTAAAGAGGGTGACCAAACTTGGAAATTGAATGGTAAATGACTAAATTGATTATGGTAAAGGCGTGTAAACATTTTTCTCGGACGAAATTGAATGTCAGAGTTGGTGAATTTGAATGAAACATGTTTCACATCGAAATGAGAAGGTGTACATACTTCATTTATCTTACTCTACAAAACTCAGTACTTCGGGTGTTCAAACAAAACTTTGTATCATGCATTTTTCATGAGTTTTTTTTCTCACTGGAGTGGACATTATTGAAATGTGTCCAATAGAAGTTTCCTCTGCATGCAGGAGAAGAGCTGGGAGAGACATACAGGGGCTTGATTTGATTTTCCTCGTAAAATGTGGTTGGATGCTAAGTATTCTTTGGTAATTTTAACTTTTTTTCTACAGCATCAAGTTCCAAAACTGTTGAGTTCAAATGCCTATGAGCACATAAAACAACGTACTGTTTATGATTTGTAGTTAGGCGTACACCCCATCCCCCCAAAAGATGTAATTTTCTCGGCTAAAGTAACTCATTTTAGAACGAAACTTAATGAACAAGAATCGACCCATGCGTACATTGTCTTTAAATTGTTTTTCTTTTCGCGGCCCGACAATAAGGGTGCACTGAACTAATTCAAGGCCTATTGAAAACAGTGTAAAATTAACAAACTTCAGGGCCAAATAACTTGCAAGCCGACAACACTGGGGTTCCTCAAACGAAAATTAAATTATTTTCTCGTCCTTCATCTTTGCATTTCTTTTAAATTTTGGGTGGACTAGCTAGTTACATTTTTAAATATTCACACCCAAACAAAATCACCTCCCGAACAGTGATAGTTCCCAAGCCTGCATGTAGCCATTTTACAAGTGGCATCTTTCCATTTTCTCAGGCAAATAGGACCCATTTTTCAACCGTAATTTTATCAAGCCATGCCCGCAGATGGAAGCCCAAAAACCAGGGAGATGATCCTTGGGTATATATACAAAATTCCACCGTTTTTAAAGCCAAACGGTCTCCATTTTCAAAAGAATTTGTGGGGGGGGGGCACATGTTATGCCGATGAGCTCGCGTAGAAATTCTCACTTGAATTAGTGCACTGCACCCATAAGTCAGCTATTGCAGGTATACCCTTCGCTCGTACCCCCGCCCTGCAAACAGGAGGGCGGGGGTAAGAACGAAGGTATACCCCAGATTTGCAAAATGTTGGGATCAGTCTACTCGCAGGTCGAGTCTGCTTGCGAAACAGTATAAACCCAAAATGTATATACATTTTCAGAGCGTTGCAGGCGTCAAATAGGCCTATTGGTTAAAACTACATGGTTTTGGGGGGTTTGGTGTTAAAATAAAATATACAAGGTCAAAATTCCTTCTGAGAACGACAAAATCGAATGGTGTACATCGTATACATGTACTTACACTCCGCCCTTAACCTTTCATCAAAACGGCGCATTTACACTTTTGTACTTTTTCAGTACTATTGAATACATTTTGGTTGTTGGGAAGTTTAAATATACCTCAAATCCTGGGTGTTTTTTGTTTTGGTTTCTCACCACGAAAAATTGATCCAATAGCCCACCGCTGTACGCCATGGGATTATACCACCCTCTCATCTCTCCCAGATTTACGCCCCTGGTCGAAAACTATGCATCCCAAGGTGGCACTTCAAGGATTCTGTCGGACAAAATTGTATAAAATGACCCGTTATGTATAACAACTAATTATCATGACTACTCACTTTTGAACAGCGTCCTAGATGCAAGGGGATGCACGAAGAGACGCAACAGCGCGTCCCTACTTCAAACTCGTTGCAAGGATCAAATCGCTGTCAAACAATCTAAGCCTCTTGGATTCCAAAAAAATAGTAACTAAACGAATCACGTCAAAAAAAATAATGAGGCGATCCCCATTCACTTCCGGGACGGGTCTGCATCCATAGGATGCATTCGACGTTCCTATGTGGAAATAAAGTAAACCTCATTGATGATTTTCCACTTAAATAGGGTTTAACCTCCGTCGGGCGTTTCACCAAATTATAATAAAAAGCCATCTTATCTCAACCCTATTGGATGGCTTGAAGCCTATACGTCACTTCCTTTGCATAATTTAATAAATAATTAGCGTTACATTACGCAAAAGGCACCACCTGGTCACAATAAAGCGGTCGTTTGTCTGAGTCGCCGAGGTGATGATAGTACTATTAAACTGAAGACTATTGTTCTTTAGTCAATAATCATTGACAACGACTGCAGAAGCAGTAGGTAAAACCCGTTTGCATCAGCTGTGCTTATAGTATTGATGTTACCAAACCTAATAACGACTTTGATTAATAAGTGTCATGGGAGTTCAATCGGGAAAACGGCAAAATGTGGCGGTCATCTCCCGATCCTACCTTGAAACTCGAAAATGTAGTGGAAAAGGTTAAAGGTAACATTACATTTTTGTCCATATCTAAATTTGGTCTTATATGACCACAAGTTTTGGTTGAATTTAACGGAAATTCTAACCCAAACAATTGGTTATAGAACAACCCAATTTTGGGTACATGCAGTTTTCACCCTATTAACCCAGGCAATTTTTCAGTGAGCGCTTATACGTGCCTCAAGATCAGAGGTTCAAGGGTTCAAATCCAGCTCAGGCTGGCCATAATATGTGTCCTTGGGCAAGACACTCCACACCCACTTGCCTCTTTCCAGTATAAATGGATACCGGCATTAGCTGGGGAGTAACCTGCGATGGACTGGCATCCCATCCAGGGGGAGTAGAAATATTTTCAGTCGTTTCATGCCAAGGAAACCGGAGATAAACGCCGGCCTGATGGGCCATATTGGTCTGTGACAGAGTTAACTTTTGACTTAACTAACTTTCGTCCGATAATCGTCAAATTTCCAAATTGCTTGCAATAGTCAATTATCTCAAAGGTTCGGGTCACAGCAAATCCACATCACGGAGAAAACTACGGTTAAAAAACGCGGTTTTTTTTCACATCCGGCGTGGCAGCGATGTTTGCCTCGCCTGATGGACATAATTATTTCCATAGCACTGAATAAAGCCATCACATTTTGAGCAAATCTGTCAGCATAAATAGTCTTGCACGGTATAAAAATGCATGTCGCACCCAGTGGCGCACCCAGGATTTGGCTGGGGTGGGGGGGGGGGGGGGGTGGGGGGAATGGTTTTTTTTTTGGGAGGGGGAGGAATATTTCGACATTGGTAGCGCCACTTACACCCCTATTATACTACTCTAAAAAAGCCACATACATAAACCAAGGTCAAATCGTGGGACTAAACAAAAAGAATTACAACAAACCCCCCAAAACATCACTTTGACAGCCTGGGGGGGGGGGGGGGGGGGCTCAAGCCCCCCGAGGGGCCCCCCCCCCTTGGGTGCACCACTGGTCACACCCCATCCAAGTTACCTCCCTATCCACTGCACACCCCGCCCACCACCTATCGATTTATTTTTGTTCGACTACCCAACGGGTGAAGGCTGGATTGAGGATCAAGCCGGAGATCTTCAACCATTTCACTCTCAAATTGTTAAAGCAGTCGCGGATCTAGGGGTGGGGTCCGGGTACAAGCACACCCCCTCCCAGTTCAGCCGCTCACTTATGTTATGATACTGGTAAAATGTGGCCAAAAGTTATAATGCAATGCTCGATGTTTCTAAGTTTAGTCGCAAATTGCCTTAGATTGGAGGGGAAAACATAGTAAATTTTCTGGGGCATGCCCCCGGATCCCCTATAGCAAGGTGTGCCTTTGGCACTCCTCTTAAATATCAGCACTCCCCCTTTCCTGTAAGCTAGATCCGCCACTGTAAAGATGTAAAGGTAAGAAACAATGTCGAGTGCAATTAACATCGTTCGCGTGCAGAGTCAATTGTTGACTTCGAGAGAGCACTTTGTGTGAGTGCCCTGCTCGAGCCATAGGGACGCCTGACGAGGTTTCGGGTCGCGTGAGACACTGATGGGAGGATGTTGTTCACTAAAAGTGCAATAAACTGTTTGCAGGGGAAAAACAAATCGACATTAGGAGGAGGGGAGAGGGTTTAGTCGTCCCCACCAATCAAAGGGCGCAGGTGACGAGAAAGACAGCTGACACTTTACGAACGAAAACAATAGCGCCATCTCGTGTCAGATAGTGTCAAGCTATCGGGAGGAGGGGTGGGCTTAACCCCTACCCCTATCCCCTGGTGATAGAATAATCCTTCCAATCGCCCACCCCGTACAGGGGCAGATCCAGGAATTTTTGCAAGGGGGGGGGGGGGGACATCAAATCAATGCGGAAATGCGAACAGTTTTTTTCTCTCGGACACTTGGCCTCCGTAAAATCAATATGGGGTGGGGGGGGGGGGGGGGGGGGTGGGGCTCGTACCATACTTTCAATGGGGGCGCTGTCCAAAGGCTATCATTAACACTATAATATTAATAGTGTACAAATACCCCCATAACCCAGATGGCTTTGTCCGGATTTTGTGCACAGGCGGATATTATTGATAGTATAATTTTTTTGGGGTGTCAGAGCGGGAGAGGGGGTGGGGTTTCATATTATTTTTCTAATGTATTTCTATGAAAGAAAAAAAAATAGTGAGAGCTGGAGGGGGGGGGGGGGATCCGCGTCTGCCGTATTTACGCGCACGCCCATCATGCCCATGCGAATTGGGCGTGCCAATTTAAGCCCACACATTAATTTCCGTTCAGTTTCAAAAAACGAAAGTGAAATACCTTCATATATTTCAAGCATACAAAAAACATGTGCCAACATTAACAACAATCCAAAAATTACAAGGGAGTCATATAACCCCGAAAACGACCTTCGACCTTAATAGGAGGTATATGTTGTTCATTATGTTATTTAACATGAAAGCAACATATGTTATAGAATGAGAAAATACATCATTTTTATGTCAAGAAACAAAAGAAATAGCGAAATAAAAAGAAAATTACGTCATTATGTTATTTAACATGAAAGTAACATATTTTATAGAATGAGAAAATACATCATTTTAATGTCAAGAAATAGAAGAAATAGCCAAAAAAAGAAAAGAAAATTACGTCATTATGTTATTCAACATGAAAGTAACATATTTTATACAATGAAACAAATCATTTTAATGTCAGGAAACAAAAGAAATAGCGGAAAAAAAAGAAAACAAAACAAAAAGTTTGTATTTGTTTTAATTAATATTTTGTTCAATCTTACTCCCCCAATTTTTTTACATTTTTTTGTTACTCGGAAATCAACATTTGCCCCCCCTCCAAAAAAAAGGGGAATGTGCTTCACGGGTTTATCAGCATGTCCGCACTTCGTGCACTTGACGCCGTGACGAGGCCGTCCCTTACACTGTGAAAGTGAAATCGCAACTGGGCCAACCGATAGGGGGCCTTGTATGTAGCACGCGCGGTTGATGACTTGTTTCAGGCAGAGTCACGTGCACAATAACAATGCATTGATCGCACTGTACGTCCCATCCGATCACACGCGTGAAGTTGACGAGGCGTGGACGACCGCAACACTGCTGGGGTCTATACTGCTGACAGTTTCCGGTGTGTAATCTTGCTTTTGTTGCTCGCCGTCCCAAATCGGATCGGATCTTCCATCCAGCCAGGCTCATTATTTGAAGGCCGAACTCTTCCCCGATCGCGGAGTACGCAGTGGTTGCTTCCCCTAGCTTCACTCTCAAGAGAGGAACAAGAAACCCAAAATATGGCTACAAACGGCGAGGCAGAAAGTGAGTAAAAAAACATCTATTTCCTGTGTACGTGTGTGTACGTGTGAAGATTAGTGTCAGTTTCATTGTTGTGCTTTGTGTGAATAGATGTAATGACACATAAAGAAGGCTTTGTTCTGCAGCTGTGTATGAACGTGCGGTCATCATCCGAATAAATCTGTACAGATGTTCGCTGTTGAAGTTAGTTGCAATACAAATATACGTGCATTGGATCCTTTTTTACTGTGTTAGGTGATGTTTAAAAGTGAGGGATTTTTTAAAAGTTGGCTGTGAGGAGGAAGGGGAGGGAATCGCCATCAGCATAACCAGTCTAGTGACTCTAGTCACAATCAATTTTTCTGAGTGACAACCTCTCCATAACCATGCTGTGAACAACTGAACATGGGAGCCTCCATGCTGTGAAGCAGGCAAAAATGCTGTTAAAATGCTGGCTTACAATTTGCATCATGGAGGAAGGATGCTTACATACTGCGTATGCAGCGTGGCCAGTCATCAAATTTGAAAATTCCAAGATGATGGCAGTAAAATTCCCTAGAACAAAAATGCAAAAAATCCTAAGATTTCGTGAAATTTTGATAGAAATTCCCAAGTTCCCAAGGTCTTGCTAAAATTCCAAAGAACTTGGGAAAATGGAAAGGAGTGGCCACGCTGTGCATGCATCTTTTTTAGGCCAGCAATCAAACAAATTAGTTTCTCGTCCCCGCTCGCTTCCTTTTTTTCTCCGGTTGCCTCTTCATTTTCATTTTTTTTTTACTTTAAATTCATACATTTGCACTATACTTTGCATGAATATTGCTTTTTATTTGTTTCCAACAAATTCTAGCCTCGTAGAAAATGTCATGAAGGTTGGGGGACGTCTCTATAGTCCGAAGTCCCATTGGTCCGAAGTCCCATTGGTCCGATGTCCCATTAGTCCGACGTCCTATTGGTCCGAAGTCCCATTGGTCCGAAGTCCCATTGGTCCGAAGTCCCATTGGTCTGAAGTCCCATTGGTCTGAAGTCCCATTGCTCAGATACGTTCCATTGGTTTAAACGTCCCATTGGTCCTAAGTCCCATTGGTCCGAAGTCCCATTGGTCCGAAGTCCCATTGGTCCGAAGTCCCATTGGTCCGAAGTCCCATTGGTCCGAAGTCCCATTGGTCCGACGCCCCATAGGATTAGGGTTAGGGTTAGGGTCAGTCAACCTGAACCAGTGGAACTACACAGTATTATGTTTCATTGG